AATACAGATGGCTGGCACAGTCCCAGTACTGTGGCTTCCTCTGCATGCAGAACTGCACCTTCTTCCTTCATTCCGAGACCTCCATTCTTGGTTCTCAGTAGTGGGGAGGGGAAGAGCTTCTTTGTTCATGGACCTCAGAATCTATTGCAAGGCTAAAGGATAGGATTTAGCCCTTATTTTCACAAAAAGCAGCTAAGGCATCACAGACTAGTCAACCTTGCCCTTCTATCTATTCAGTAACCTACCTCTTGCTGAAGGACTGAAGCTCATTAACTATGGAGCTTTGCTTTAAGCTGCAACTCCCTAACCAAAAATATATTGATTTACAAATCGTAGGTATTACAAAGTTTATCACTGATATAATGAAAACTCCAGTGCAGCTAATATTTCAAACTGGATGAATCCATCATGATAATAATCTATAAATCTCTTTTAATTCTAGAAGACAGTGAAATATTTTTATTGTGATAGAAATCATACCCAAGAAACATTACTACTGAACTAAACCCAGCTTAAGTAAAACAACAGTTTAATAGTAGTTTGTATTTCTCATAGTACTGTGACCTTAACGCACTTGAAAACTTTGGTCAGGATGTAGGTTGAGTGTTCTTAGAACCCAAAGAAATAACAAAAGAGATTTTCAAAGCTCCAAGCGTCTGCCTTCCTACCTGTCAATTTTTAAAATTTACTCTCTTCTGAGCAATATTTGAATTTTACTTATATTTTATTTACTTTTAGGTTTATGTATTTAAAAGAATAATGCACATAAGCAGTTACGATTCCTTGTTCTTATGTCCAGTAATATCTTAAATATTTTCCTATATAAATATTTTTCATTATATATTTGCTGATATTTAACAGATACTGGGGGAAAAAAGATCTCATTTATTCATCACTTTTTACCTTCTCCCTTACCTCTATTTCTTAGGATAATAAAGTTAATCTGGAGACTAAACTCCAATTTGTTTTCCTTTTTGAAGGAGTAATAAACTTGATTAATTTTGTTCAGTAAAGTTACCTGTCTTCAGACAAGAGTACTGTGACCGGTAGGTTAAGGAAAAAGGCTAAATAGCATTATCTTAAAACTTGTGTAAGCACAATAATACTATATAAAAAAGTATCATAAAGAATATAGTATTTCATAATACTAACTTCGAACAATGATAATAATTCTTCATTAAATAGTTTTCCCTTCATTAATGCCTGAAGAAATAACTCAGAGTCTGAAGAAATATTACTTTTAGGGAACATACTAATTTCAGTGGACAAAGCACGAGGATTTACTTTGTTCTGATCCCATCTGTATCTATGATCTGGTACGGGGCCTTCGGTATACTGCTCAATTCTTTGTGTCTCCTCTTCCGTAAAAAAGATGGTCATATTTTATTGATATATCACTGTAGTGTGGTAAAATTAATCTAATGGCAGTGAATTTCTTTTTAAAAAAGCCCCTAGTATAACTAATTCCTCATGACTGTAAAAATCTCTAATATACAAGGTGATGGTACAGTTTATTTACAGGTAAATAATTAGTGTAGCTAATTTCAGAGAGAAATCACCCAGGTTTGGGAAGGATGCAGTTAATACCTAACTTTCCACCCTTATTGTATATAAACTCTTCTGTATTGTATAAAATCCAATTCTTTTCTCCTGACTGTATGAAGACAAACATATCTAATGTTATACTGAGTTCTGTCCTTTACCCCATTGAAAATTATCTTTTGTTGATGTAGAAATGGTTGGGAGACGTTTATTACTATTCAGGAAAGAAGGAATAAATATATTCTTAACACAGTTCTAATAAGGAAGGTCCAATAGCCAAGATGATTTACTAAATGGGACACTGTCCTCCCATAACTGCAGAATGCTATGGCACTAGTCATCAAAGCAGCAGCTGCTTAGAGAGGCGGCAACTTGACACTATGAACTCCGCAGAATCGTGGAGGCCAGTAACTGCCAGTATGATTTCTGTTCCGAGGCTCTACCTGGCCCCTGAATGGCCTCAATCACATCAACTTCCTTTTAGTTCAGTCACCTGAGACAATGTTCAGCCACAAAGTGAGGATAAAAGTTTAAATTTTATAAAAGTACCATGTGTTACAGAATACAAGTTCCACAGAAATGCTACGTCCTACTACTGAAATATTAGAGACAGTATCTTTTGAAAAACAGTATATATTTTTAATGCAGAATGAACTGGAGGCAGACTGAATTACTGTCATTAGAATATGAAGGCTATGTATATGTATTTCATATATGCAAATTCCTCATAAGGAACCAGTAACTGTCTGACAGATAAAACGACATTATTACACTAAACAACCAGAGGTTGTTCTCAGTCAAACAGTGGAGAAGCCAAGCCAGCCATGGTATACTTGAAACCATTTCTTGAAAAGAAGTGCCGACTAGGAGGAATCCTAAGTTATAACCACCCTCTGAACCACGAGTGAAGACAGGGAGATGGCTAGGCCCAGGAATGCTAAATCAGGAAGTGCTTGTGGTTAAAACCAGAAGCAACCACATGAATAAGAGGTTTTAGGAGACAGCTAGACGACACTGATAGAAAAAAACCCAACAACTAAAGCACAGAAAAGAGCAAAACAAGAAGGATTAAAAGGCCCAAAAAGATCTGTGTGCGTTGACTCTGGTTTCGGGAGAATAGAAAAGTAAAACCCAAATAACTGAAGATTTAGACATCCTGTAGCAATAAATCTTTCTTGTTGTTAAAAAAAAATAAAATCTCAATTTAGTCTTCCATCGCCATCTGGAAGCTTTCTCTTAAACAAACGAACAAAACACACAACATAAAAACAGTTTTAATTTTCTTCTACATACCCAGAAAAAGGTCTCTTAATGACAAACCCCAAAATGTCATACTTTCAGCCTTGCATAACACCATGGAGACTCTTTGAGCTATCGTTGATCATCTGTAATATTCCTCTCAGATGCTAACAAGCAGAATTGAATAAAAATACAAAAATGAGTAATGTTTCAACAATAAACACAAGGGGAAAAATAGTTTTAATTATCCTACAAGTGTTTGCATTGAGTAGGCAGGAGAAGATTTCCTGAATATAAACCATGTTATGATATTAAGAAAATAAGGGAGCTAGCTCCTAACTGTTGTCTCACACCTTCCCTTCTATATTGAATGAACTCTAATGAGAAAACCTTTTTTTTAGGAAGTAATGATGCAAAGGCAAGCAACGCAAAACAAAACAACATGATTCTAATTTGACCCTTCCAGCAGTATAGTACACACAATCCACAACACTTTTTATCTGGAATTAGATCAAAGCACTTAAGAAGTACTGTTAATTTGTGGGAACATAACACATCTGCAGATAATTAAAGAGATGCTGCCACTTACCATTTGAAATGAGGACTTTGCTGTTCATACTTAAAAGAACTCTTTCTGTCCAATCCAACCCATAAGTCTAAAATGCTCCTTTAAAAGGGTTTAAATGGCTTGGGAGGAGGGAGTATTGTGCCAAAAGATAGAGCTTTGAAGCCGCAGGCATCTGCATCGTGTTGATTATTGCATCTAGTTTGCTCTGCTAAGAAGTGAGGAAATGAGAATTGCCCATTATTAGATGGGACTGACCTCTGTTTGGCTGCAAAGAAAACGACAATCTGGAGTTCTTATTCCTTTTCTTTAGAGATGACGTTTAGAGGTCAATATATCAAATAAATTTTTGTGGGGGAAAAGCATGATTTTGATGCCCAAAGATTTTCCTCTGCGTCAGCTTCATATCTTCTTCAGTGAACAGAAAGTATGAGGATTTCACTGTAAGAGTGGTCAAACCCTGGAACAGGGTCTGAGGGAGGCTGCAGAATCTCCATCCTCAGAGAAACTCAAAACTCAGCTGGACACAGCCCTCAGCGTCCTGATTCAAGCTGAGAAAGAGGTTGAACTAGACCTCCAGAGGCTCCTTCTAACATAACTTATTCTATGAAACATCATGCTATTTTCATACTATTTTTGATAGAATGGTTCCTTTCATCATGAAAAATAAAAAAATAAAAAAGAAGGTGTCAGAGAGTTGCCCTCATACTGAAGAGTATTTTCTGGTCTCTGTCACACCTGCAGATGCAGATGTCCTCGCACAGATCCATCTCTGCCCAGTTGTGAATTGGATTTACAGCTGAAGTGGGGTTGATTGCTCCAGCCTTTGCCAGTACCTCTCCACACAGATACAGATTGTTTGTTCCAACAAGTACTACGGCTGCCGAGGAGCCGTAATAGCAGCCATCCAGAACCAAGCAAAACCAGGACTCTCACTTTTGGGGGATAGAGGTCCCCAGAGGAATTTTGGCCATATACCATCTCCTGTTAGTCTCTGTGCCTAACAGTCCTGGGATATTGTAAACAGCATATACAGGAGAGATATCTCAAACAGATAGGAAAATAAACTGTTTCTTCTTTCATAAAAATCTCATAGTTTCCTGGTTTAAAGAATAGGAAATAAAATGGGTCAAAAGAGGGAGTAATTAATTTATACAGGTTAACACAATTAACGACATGTTAAGAAAAACGCTAAAATTTATAGTCTCAGAAAAGTGAATAAAAGACTATTCTCTTCTTGTCTGCTGACTTCATGCATAAAATTGATGATTTAATCTTGTCTGGCAGTCTTACAGAGTGTTAACTTCAAATCGATCAACAATTCTGTCATTAACAGAAGTGTCCCTTTCCTTCACTCACTGATTATAATGATGGGTGTGTTATAAAATTTTATGGGATTCGAGTCTTTGAAAGATTTCGATGGACAGTTTTTGTTGAAAATGAGTAGCAACTTAATTCAGATTTATAACATAGGAGACCACTTGTTTTTATTTTCAGGAGTTAACTCAACCTAGTGTTCTTACGGTAACAAGCCTTAAAATCTACTTCTAGCTAAAGTGTAAAACAATGTTAAAATTTATCAATGTAATTTTGGCTGTTGCTTGTAAAATTAGGCATACGCTTATTTACATTTAAATATTTTTCTTTATTACAGTGATTCGAGCAAAAATATCCAGTGAAAAGGTGGTTCCTGCCAGTGATGATCCTCTTGATACCCACAAAATGATCCGGTATGAAATCAAACAAATAAAGGTACATGGAATCACTTAGCTATTTTGAAGTTCAATGTTGATAAACTCTGTATCTGACTACAATTTAGCCCTAAATGCTTTAAGCTGGAAAAGACTCCAGCTGCCCCCACAGCTAGACCCAGGTGAACTACACAGAATAAAACAATGTAGGGATAGAGAAGAAGAGAAAAATTAAAAAAAAAAAAAAAAGCAGCTATTCTGACACTTAAGAGTTGCTTGCTAAGTAACTATATTTTGATGAAAATTTTTGTTATTCACAATTGCTCTATGAAGATTTTATGAAATGTACTTCAGCCTATGAATGGTGTTCAATACATTTGCTGTTTCTGGGGGATACTTATCACCTACGTTGCATTATGATATCACACCTCTTACTGGATGATGCAAACTTTATAATAAACAGAGGAAAGCATTTCCAGCTGAAATAGCAAGGACTTTTGTTCCTAAGTGAGTAGGGATATTTGCAGAAGCAGGAGTCCTTCCCTGATATTCATGTAAAAAGAAATCCATTTGTGTGAATGTTGCTAGGAAGGCAAACACAAAGTGGGAGCACCCAAAAATACAGTCATTCAGAATCTCACAGGATTTTTCGATTATTTGTTCAGCTCCAATAAGGAGACGTAATCATTAATGTACTTTAAGAATACCCATCTTGATCCTATTCAAGTCACCATCAAACTCTCACTGCTGTAAATCTACCTGTTTCTAGAACACACAAAAGATAGGCAATCTCTTTCAATTAAAATGTAATAATGTACATTGTTGGGGGGTTTTGTTTGGTCGGTTGGTTTGTTTTAAGTTTTCTAAGGTGGTTTTACTTCCCGTTTTTATAGACTATTATTTTGTATTATTTGTGTTGATTTGTATTATTACATTTACTGGGAACACTTAAGAAGATCATTATGAATGGCTACATGCTTTCAAAAAAAAATTTCTATGTTTCAAATTGTATCAGTGGATCACCTCACAGGACTTTACTAGGAAAAATTGATGGTAAATGAGAATATCTCAAAATACTCACATGGATGGTTATCACACATGACCTGTTAAGGTTTTATAGCAATTTCAACAAGCCAATTCTTTTTACCTTGCTAAAAAACAAACCCCAAAACTCTTCACCATCTGCCACTTTCTGTCTTAAACTATTAAGGAAATTTTCAAATGTTTCTTTACAGAAATAAGTATATAAATATCAGAGTAATTCTCTTTCCTCCCATTAGCACTTTAAATTTCTGCTGCCACTCTGCAACACTTCAGTAACTTTATAGAAATGCAGATCATCATACTTCAGCACAATAAAGAAGAATGAAAAGTCTAGTCTATGTTATTCTTTTCGGTCTATAATCGTGTTCTTCAGAAACAGCCTACTGAAATCTCAGAAATACACCCATATATTGGAGCTGCTTTGGAGTTTCTACCAAATTTTCATAAGTAGAGGCCTATTCAAAACTTAGGCATCAGAAAGAGACCTTTATTTAATTCCACTAAGCTTCAGAAGGCAAGTCAGCTAGGACTGGACAAACCGGAGAGATGTATTTTCTAATAAAAGATGCTCTACATAATTACATACAAGCTTAGCCTAACGACAAATGGGTCATGATAGTCCTACCCTTCAAATTCTTACTTCTGGCCAGAACAGAGTTAGAAGAGAAGTAGGAGCTGAGGCTTCAACCCTGGCACACAGGCTGCTCAGCTGCCTTGGGACCCAGCTCCCTGCTCAGCGTCTCTGACAAACCCAGTAGAAGGATTTTTGTTTGAAATATCTGCAACACAGAATGAGCAAGCAAACAGAAGCTTTTGTAAACTGCAAATCTTTTGTGGGGTGGCTAGTAAACTCAGTGTGGCACTGAAATAATCCCATAAGGGTAACTTTGCCCCTGGCTGGTAAATCATACAAGACCTGACAGAGAGTGATGTAACCTCTTATATTCTAAGCATATAATTCAGAGCTAGCATACAGGTAAAAATGCAACAGGACTGGGTATACTGAAAAATTACTGAGAAACATTCACTGTTAAATTTAACAGAACTTTGATAAGAAGGTGTTATGGGTAACACTGTAAAGTCCACATCAAGTTACAAAAGTGAAGAGAGAGCAATTTTAAATAGTTCGTGCTTGTAAACACTTGGTAAGTGTAAAATAATCAATTAAATCATATAATGTTGTATACAGTCAGCCAGATTTGGCCACCTCAGCAGAGCAGGACAATCTGCAGACTAATAACATCACAGAAACAGCTTGTCAGAGGATCTTCAAACTGAGCCTCGTGATCAGTGCCCTCCTTTCTGCATCTCAGTTTCCTGAATAACTGAGAGCTTGGTTGACCAGAGCAGTAACTTGGTAACATTATTTCCTACCTTTTCCCTCAGATTACATCATTTAGAAGAATCTAAATCGGCAGCGTATGTCAAATGGTAGAACATTCTCTTTTCACTACTATAGTCTCTCTTCTATGAGTGCTTACAGACCGATTTCTCATATTGTAAATCTGATGCCCTGCAGTTGTGATAAACTGAACGGTCCCTTCAATGTCTGATGGCGCTGATCACATGTTTCTGGCTAACCCTGTGCATAAACATTTACAGGATTGGGCCGATATGCTAAGAATCCACTTCATGTAACAAAGAAAGTAAGAACAGATTCTCTATCACCTCTTTTGAGCTGTAAGATCTATCAAGCTAAAACATGATTATCAACTCAGTATTAGCTTTGGTGAATACTTTTTAAGCCACACACATATTCACACTTTCCTCAGCAACTCTTCTCCCTTTAAGAACAGAAACACAGAACATATAGAGGTTACATTTTACCGCAACTGTAAATTCAGCAAAATGTTGCTGTTTCTCTGTTATGTTACTCTCTGGGCTGTTTGACATGTAACATTAGTGCGGCTGGTTTATGCTACTCCTGTTACAAAAACTGTATTTCTGTTATTTTAAATCCAGTCCATTAGTCTTAGCATTAAAACATTGGTATTTTGGGACAGGAATATTAAATATGATTTTGTTATTCATCTTCAGAAATAAAAAAAAATAATTATGATGGGGTTTATTCATTTTATATATATGGGTTGGCATTTTAAGAAGCCATACATATTTTCTTTTATTGCAATATTTACAGCATTGTGCTAAAGAGAGAAGAAAATATGTGATTTACATGCAATTGAATATTTGTCTTCATAAAATTATTGTTATTGACTTGGTCATCATACTTACTCTGAGGACCCAGCTAAATACTGAAACAGTGCCATTAGCTTTTGTGACATTTTGCCCTGTATTATCAGAGCAGTGAAGCAAGGCCCGAGATATTCCTGTCATACATGAAATTAACACATTTTACCAAATTAAACTAGTATAAGCAAAATGGCTAACTATTTTCCACACAAGCTGTATGGATGCAAACCCACTGAAAGAATCAAGACTTTTACAAGGAGGTGGGGTCCCCTCACAGTGGGAATATGAGGAGGTACTTAAGCTAAACACAACATTATCTACACCTTACAATGATGCATGCAGTTTTAAAGGTAGCTATTAATCACTATATAAAACTAAGAAAATAAGCCATGATACAGTTGGAGAGGTTTAGAGAATTAAAAACAATAGAAGAATCATGAAGGAACATGCCTGAAATGCTAAAAGTAATACAGATAGTCTTAAAGAAAAGTCTTCTAAAATCTTAAAGCAAGGTAGTGTACTGGTCTTGGCCATATACCTCAAAAGGACAGGCACAGGATCAATACAGACTTTAGCATCAGGCTCACAGCTCTCTATTCTCTCAGTTCCCCATCCTGTTTTCCCACCTCAGTCAAGTCCTACCAGAACCTCAATGGCCTATACCACAGTGCAGAATCAAATCAAGCCATCTTATCCCTTTACAGAGAAAGTATCCGCACTTTCAGGAGATGAGAGAATATCATGAAGAAGATCAAATATGATTTAGTGAGTTAAACAGAAAATTGTAATCTTAAGAAATACTTTAACAAATATCTAGGTCAAAACCTGAGCTAGGTCAGACTGTAATGTCAAAAAAATCCCTCAACCAAGCAATCAAAAAACCCCCAACAAAACAAACACCGAACTCTTAAATATTAACTAGATCTCTATTTTAAGTTGCCATGGGTATTTTTATGTATGTGTATATATACATATATTTTTTTTTTAATAGCTAAATCAATTTGTGTTGTCTGCATAATGTCTGAAGTTAATTTAGATCAAGTGATGAGCTATTAAATAAAAGTTGCGGCCTACTATACATTGTAGCCCAACCGAAGTTTTTTGAGTGGGGAGAGAACTCAACTCGGCGGGTACCTGCAGAGCTGGTGTAGTTCCTACGGGCTAGACATCTGTGTCTGGTACCCACACCCTGAGCGAAGCCGACGGCCGCGCAGCAGAAGCAGGGATTCAAGTTTCAAAGAGGGCAGGAATCCCGTGGCTCTTGCAGGAGCCAGGAAGGCTGGGGGCTCCCCGTGAGGCGCTGGCTGGGCCAGCAACCAGGCACGTTCTCCACAACACCTTGCAGCCTGCTCCCGCTTCCTCGTCTGGCCATCTTTCTGAGAGCCTACATTGGGCTGCCGTGCCAGACTACTTCTATCTAATAAAATCAGACACTTTTTCATCGTCATTATATATGCTTTCCATTATTTTCACTGCTGCTTTGAACAGGATACCGATTTGTTTTTTTGGTTTAGTTTGGTGTGTTTGTATTTTCTACTAAGTCTTTCAAATTCACATCTAATAATTTTGGATCAGAAGCCCAATGACAACAACTCTGGCTTTTTTTATTCTATAAATACGGCTTCAGAAAAATCAACATATTAGAGTGTATTTTCTAGTGCCCTGTACTATTTAAATCTCCTGAGGGAACTTAAGTAACACGAACACACTTTCCAGTGACGCCAGCTGCAACTGGGAGAGCCTGCCCGTGGGAGCTGTGAGCCTTGCGATTGTCCACAGCTGTCAACACACAGCATGATGTCACCAAATGGGGCCCCCGGAGTGTTGGGGTTTCAGTTATGTCATATTAGGTGATGACAGGCACTCTGAGGTTGATTAGCATCTTATGGTTCCTTCTCACATTTGGACACAACTAAACTTGTTTTGATCTTTCAATGGCTGACTTAAGAATTATTTTCATAGTTGGGAATGCTAGTCAAGGAGCAGCCAATCTGAACACTGCACAGGCTTTGATCCTGAGCCTGTCCCTTTTGGGGCTGCAGGCTATAAACTCTAAGAGCTGGGTCCCATTTCCCAACAGTTATTTGAGAAGGTCACGTTGGGCAAAATTCTGGATGTAGAAAACCAGCTTGCTTTAGTGACCAAATACAAGAACAATACTCAGTTTCTTAACATGTCTCATGTCCTTGAAGATGAACAGCGTCACACTGATCAATATAAGATTTCTCCTATTTATATATGGAGAAATTTTTGCATTTTACAATGCTACAGCACTTTGTTTGAGATGAATGCGTTCTCTGCATTACTCCTTAAATGGAAGATGCCAGCAGAACATAAATTGAAGAGAAGGATTTAAAGATCCATTAAAAACACTGAAAAAGCACATTTTAAAACCTATAATTTCCTTCTAAAAACAACAGACACATGCCATTTAGTGTAGAGAAGGGGTCTAATTGTTGGTATTTTCACATATAAGTTCAGACTTTAGAGCTTTTTTTTTAAAGAGGTGCACCACATATTTCTTACAGCTGTTGTTTGCAACTGTTTTTTCATGTTTGCTTTCCACTACTGACGATGTTTCTGATAATTTTCAGATGTTTAAAGGATTTGAAAAGCTCAAGGATGTCCAGTATGTCTATACCCCTTTTGATTCGTCACTCTGTGGAGTGAAACTAGAAGCTAACAACAAAAAACAGTATCTTTTGACAGGTAAAATGCTACTAAACTAATGCACCTATAAAACCAGAAGTAACTGCTTAGATTGACTTTGCAAAAATATACTGGCCCTTGTTAAAAAAAATAATATATTTATGTGCTAAGTAATATAAACACAATGAAATGTACAAATTGTGTAAATCTGGAATCATACTGTGATCTTACATGGTTTCCATTCTTCATCCAACAATCTTAAAGTAGTTTCAAAAGTCAAGATCAGTAACTACGTAATTAGTAAATAGCAAGTATGACATAATTATTTGTTTGAAACCAGCAGTACTGGTTTCCCCAGGAATGCAAACATGCTTAATGAGACAACACTTGCCTATGTCTATACAGATTTGGGGTCCTAAGTAATTACAGGTTTTTCTATAGAGTCCTGAAATCTAGTTTAACACACAACTGCATTTGCATCCAACCCTTGCTGGCAGATTATCAGCATCTTTTGAAAAAATACCCTCCTTAAGTCTTTTACATTTATTCAGTATGCAGAATAATTCTCTCAGTTACAATTACATTCATTGAGAAAAGTGTGAAATGTGACTAACTTGGTGCAATTAGTTAAAAACTTCAATTTGTTTTGGTATTTAGAAAACAGTTTTATTTGCTTGCCTTATTTTTCTTATTTTCCATGTCGTAGGTCAAATTTTAAGTGATGGTAAAGTCCTCATTCATTTATGCAACTACATTGAACCATGGGATGATTTATCCTTGTCTCAGAAGAAGAGTCTTAATCAGAGATATCAAATGGGCTGTGGCTGCAAAGTAAGTATAGAAGGAAACACTGTCTAATGGTAGAGCCCACCTTACAGGCACTAGCAGTTTCCTCTGGTGGGAACTGTTCTCCCATACACCATGTATTTTATATTATTCAAGAATAAACACCATTTGAAAGAAACCTGCACTATACTGACTTAATGTGCTATTTCACATTTAGATTACAACCTGCTACATGGTGCCCTGTTCGATCACTACACCAAACGAGTGCCTCTGGACAGACTGGCTGATAGAGAGAAAGCTATACGGGCACCAGGCCAAGCACTATGCCTGTATCAAGAGAAGTGATGGCACTTGCAGCTGGTACCGAGGTGGTCCTCCCCCAGAGAAAGAGTTTATTGATATCAGCGAACCTTAAAATGATCACTTCCGAAAAAGCCTTGGAGTCTAATTCCATCAAACATTGCACGCTCACAGCTTTGAACACATCGTCTAATGTATCTGTTGCTTAGAAACAAAACCAAATTGTCCTGCACAGCTAAAGTACGAGTCTGTGGAATTGGCACTCACGCAAGATGAGGAACAAATCTCCTGGAGGTAGCTACTCTGTAAAGTTATGCTTTGTACAGAGAGGCTCAGGCTGAGAATGCTCCTCCAAGACCTCTAAGGCAAAACAAGTTTCCCTTTTACCAGTATGAATGTACAAGAACAAAAGAATTGCCAGAATTTTGCCCCCTATTTCTGTTAACCAACAGATTAAGAGCCCCATGTTTTATTCCAAATCTTTCTGATGAACTACAGAATGTTTTATAGAACTATTTTTTTCTGTATGAAAGTCTTCTGATACAAAAGAATTATTGTACAGTGTATATGTAAAGTATTATAACAATGTGCTATTAAAAAAGATTCAAAAGTCCCTGTATTTCCTTATCTGCTGAAAAAAGCTGAACACTTCTGTGATTAAAACAATCTGTGCTCCATATTCTGTATGTTACTTATGTCATAGCTTTCTTTATCTATAGAGTTGTAACTTTCATTGGTAAATAAGTTAAAAAACAGCCTTGATAATCAAAATCCTCTTACTCAATTCAATATTCCTATGGACTAGTTATATGCTGTTGAAAGGAAAGCCAGATGTCCTAATGCTTCAGTGTTTTATGGAACCAACACAAATGATGACAGGCTAAAACTGCTTATATTTACAGAAACAATGTTCATCATCATGGCAGCTGTAGTACTTGATAATGCCTCTCTAAATATGTGACTAGGTCATTGTATTTCAACACTGTTAAAAGCCGTGGCTTTAGAAAATCATATAAAAATATATGTAATAGATATTGAGTAACTTACACTGCAAGTGATTTCTAAAAAGGTCTCAAATATTTGACCATATTTAATAGTTTAAATTTACATTAATGATTTTTTCAGTCAAGAATACCCATTGTACACGGTCATAATGAATTTGGTAACTTATGAACTTATGCTAGAGAAGTATTACAACGTATTTTGCCGTTTAGTTTTTTAGTGTCTTAACTTTTATGAATGGATTACTGTAGTTAGTAACTAATCTCACACATATTTAAGTTTACAAAAGTAATTCAATTCACAGTGGTAAAACTTAAGAAATTATTTCTGTAAATGCCAAAGTTCAGACAGTTGTTCAACTGCTTGTGTTCTAGAAACTGGATGAGAACTGTCACGCAGGATGTGAATCTGTAATAGCTGCCATTTCTGACACATTTTACTCTCTCCAATTTTCTCCACTGGGTTTCTTTCACTTCATTACAGTTGTGGCTAGAAATTACTCTTATGTATTCCTCATATGAGAATTTAGAACAATAGTCAGTTCTGTTCTCGTTTGGTTAGACCATGTCTATTTAAAGGTTTAACACAAACACTTCACTCGTTCCTGCTAACCATAGTGTAACATTCCCCGCCCATGGGCGTATTCAGAATCAGAGCTGTTATTGTCTATTGGTTCAAGGGTCCAGTTTTCCAAACAGTTCCTTTAGTCTGTTTGCAATAGAGTCCTTCTAAAATCACTGGGACATAAACTTGCGATGAAGATGCACATCTTTAAGTGCATAGTCATCTCTCATTCCATTCAATTTGATGTAGCTGCAGTTTGGACATAAAATTCCATGTCCCATGTATCTCATCACACCCTAAGGTATGTTGTATTGGATATATAACGTATACTTGCAAAAAAAAAACCTGTATAAATGATTTTTTGTGACATACTCTTTTCATATTTCTAATGGTTATTTTGACAGTTGCATGAATACGTATTTAAGGGATAGGTTTGAAAACACTCTCGTGAGAATAAATATTCTTATTTACTTTTTTTTGTGGCTAAACTTAATATAATTCCAGTGAAGTGAAATGGCGCAAGGCCAACAGGAAGGCATGCTGCTATTCCTTTGAGGAGTATATGCCCCTGAATAGTCAGCACTTCACACATTATTTACTGTAAATCAGTTTTTCGGTTTCAATTTACAATCCTAGATTAAACCACCATATATTTGTGCTGCCAAATGTAAAGCCTCGCTCATTTTCTGCTTTGCTAGAGACAAACAAAAAATTACCTAACACTGATTTGGAGCATCAACTTATTATGGCTACTTACACATAAATGATATAAAAAGGCTGCATTTCTTCCAAAAAGGAATTGGTACTGCAGAGACAGTATTGACAGTACTATTTACTGTCAGGGCTATGCATTTATATTACTAATTTACAGAAAGACTTAAAACCCAGGCCTTATTTCCTCATGTCAAACCAAAACAATTCCTAGATAAGCCTGCAAGGGCTTAATAACCATACAGTCTGAATCAAGCACATGGCTAATTAATATTCAATACATGTAGAGTGTAGCATTTGTTTCCAAATTCATTTCGATGTAATGGTGTCTTCTGAATAGCACTCTGCAGCAAACAGATATTTTCTGCTTTCTAACTCATAGTTCCGTTTCTATCTCAGTTTTATAGTAATTAGACCTTAAACTCAACTAGCCCCACTCAGATTGCCTTCTTTATGTATCTTATAAAAATAAATGCTTTCTTCAATATTTATGAACAAACTGTAATATGAACATATGCCATAATTAGTTTAAAAAACATTTTATATTCAACCTCCCATAAAATATCCCATATGAGGGGTTCCAAAAGTAACGGCCATCCACTTTGATTTCTGTCTGAGCATAAATCTGGCCAAAGTTGCTGCAGTGGCTGGTACAAAGATTTTTTTTTTTTTCTTTTCCTCATTACAATAAATATGGCAAGAAAAGCTTTATAAAAAATCCTCTCAGAATGAGTTTTTATTTTCCCTGAGATTCAGCACTGATCAAGATTATTAAAAGGATTAATTACAATGTGGCATTCTGAATACGTTATTTTCCTATCAAGATTTTTACTGTAGTGGCATGGATATATTATCAACAGCAGATTATTTTTACATTTTATTTTTACTTCATGAAACTATGTGTTACAGGAAAGGTTAGAGCAGAAATATAGCCTGGTACAACATTTGATTTTAATTTGAAAATTACTCACATGACTTATGACAGGAGTAGGGAAAAGAACAGAGAAGGGAGGCTGTACAGGTGAACGGTGAAAAAACACCACCTTGAATATTGCTGGCTTTTTTCTCAGTGTTCCAGTTAAGTTTTAATTAAATTGTCCAACAATTATGTTGAAAAAGCCATTGTGTTTTTTTTTTTTTTTCATGACAGAGAACATAAGCGGTGGGAATGCAGTGAAATAAAGGGAACTAATTACTGAGGGAAAGGCTGTAGATATGACTCAAATAGCAATGAGTTCAAAAAGCCTTACTGTGTTTTGTATAGTTTTAATCAGTCTGAGATGAATGTTTCTGTTTCAAAAAGTGTTTCATTAAAGCAGCTCCATTTTTACACAAAAGAATGGCATCTTTGTTTATTTACCTTTTATTGCTGTCTGAAGACTCAGTACGACTGATCACCATAGTATGAAAGACGCAAAAGAAACAGAAGCACAACCGTACCTCTGGCACGCTCAGTTGAAAACTCGATTCACAGACACTTGGAGTTTTCCTCTGCTCCCTTCCCTCCCCCCATCCCCAATTGGTTTGCACTGGAAGGGAGGGAGAGAGCTCTAGGTTACAATTTGGAGAATAAGAAGGGAAAAAGTGAACACAAGAGGAACTACAAAAAAAAATATTTTGAACTGTAAATACCAAATTCTGTAAAAGTAAGTGCAAATAAGGCCAACTATTAATAAACAGTGTTTAAAAACTGACAAAATTTAAATAGCACGATATGATTTCAATTCATCAACTAGAAGACTCTGATACCCAGGTCATCTTAAAAGCATTCTAGAAATCTGAATAAAATGTTATCTTATACCATGTTTCCTGATTATTTTCCAAGCCAAAAAGTTCCAAATAATGTCTTCAGAAGGAAAAAAAAACCAAATGAGCTTCATCACAGTCAGTTATTACAGCATCTCTAAACGATGTGATGGCATTGCAATACCAAAATGCATTAATTTTCTCCAGATTAACATTCATTACATAGAAATATGTAAAAAAATTACTCAGCTGTGGAAAACATTAACATTCAAAAGTTAAACAAAAGACAAGTAACTTACCAGTTCAGACATTACTTAGCAATGCAGAGGAACGAAGTGGGGAAGAAACCACTCAACTAGTTGTAATACGCTTAAGCAAAACATGCCTTATCAACACCTACACATTTTCTTGTTTGTGTTCTATTACGGAATTTGAATTCAAGGAGTTGTTCAAGACAGCAGTTTGCAGTTGAACTGTCAGAACTTTTACAGGGTCATACTAGGTAAAGCTTAAAAGCTAACACATTGATTCTTGTCCTAAAGTTATAGGATATTTTCTTTGTTTCTATATCCTGCAATTTAGCGATGCATTAAAAAGGCTTGCTTCTTCAGTAAAATCACAGAGTATCTCAAGTTAGAAGGGACCCATAAGGATCACTGAGTCCGACTCCCTGCTCCCCGCAGGAGTACCTAAAACTAAACCATATGACTAAGAGCATCATCCAGATGTTTCTTGGACTCTGACAGGCTTGGTGCTGTGACCACTTCCCTGGGGAGCCTGAATAATAGCTGATCAAATAATGAAGAAAGAACAATAAATTGCGCACAGGAAATTATGAACCAGCTTTACTCTTGGATATTCTCGTGAAAATAGAGTGATATAAAACTTATTACCATTTTAAAAAGCATCTTGCACAATGTAAGACGTGGTTGTGCTTCTCCACCTGTTATGAATGAATCCCTAAGGCCTAAAACACTTTTGCATTAAAAAAATAAATAAATTTATAAAGTTGTATATTTTCCTGACAAATCCATCAACAAAAACCCCTTCCATTCTGAAAATATTTGACCGTCTGGAGCAATATGTAGTTCTCCTGCTCCATGTAAGTACCATTCTCCTTTGGCTCTACAAAACTTCAGTGTAGCAAATTTGCTAAATACACAATTGTGGTGAAAGCTCTTTTCAGAAGTGTCGTATGTGACAAGAGAAGTGGAAACATCTGTGAGTTAACGGTCCAAAGAAACCAGAGAGAACTGGGAAAGCAGTACGAAGAGCCATCCTGACATTCTTGCGATACATCAAAAAATACGGCAGAACTGCACCATGCTGTGTTTATTACCAAAAGATGAGACAGATGTGGGGGGAAAGAAGACTTCAGAAGAAATGTTAGTCAACTGCGGTCACTGAGACTTCTCTTAGATGCCACCTATGATAACGCAGTGCTAGCCAGAGTCTCAAGACAGACACACAGCAATCACAGCTCGGGAACCTTACATAAACAGCTAACTAACGTATTTATCACGACCTTCCAGTGGTACTTGGATCACAGCTGTGTGACATATGCTGACTGGATTGTATTCTAAAAATAATTGATGCTACTCTGCTCATCTATTCAATCAGCAAATAGCCTCCCTTCAGTTTCTCTCAGTGCTGAAAGTATTTCCTCTAGAAAAATACACTCAGGAAAGAATTTCTGTTTAGAAACCATAGAAAAGTAAGAAAAAAATGTCTGTAGCATACAACAGGTCATGAGTAAAGGTCATAAGTGTTATTTTCATGAGTGCATTTCTGTCTGTAAAGGACTGGGAATCAATGTCAGATCAGGTACATGAAGATCACAAGTCATAAAGACCCTGATTTTAGCTAAGTTCAAAGTTCTACACAGACAGGCACATAGCCTTGTGCATCATCTACAAAGATAATAAACACTTTGAACAGATCATGAAGGCCTAGGTTGAAAACAAACCATAAAAGTAACTCTCGCACTTCAATAGTTGTTCAGTGTCTTCATAAGCATTTAATCTCTTTAAGATCTGAAGTTGGTTAGCTGAAAAATGACTACCCTCACATCTGAAAATCTTCCAGTTAACCATCACAATGCTTTCAAGTGGTCACCCAGTCTCATCCCTCTGAAAGCTTCCAAAATGGCTTCCAAAAAGACAGTAAATGGGGAAATTAATTGTGTGTTTACAGTCTCTGTAAAACAGGAACAGTAAGCAAATTTAGTACTGGTATTTGCACGTACCATTTCCTTGTGATTTGGATAGAATGTCTGCTCAATTAAAGGGAACTTCTCTGGACCCAGAGTTTTGTAGACAGACACCAGCTGGGCAAACTGTAAAAACAAAGCAACATAAAATAAAAAGTTTAGGAGAGAAACCACATTCTGCCAAAATAATCTCATACTGTCATTTTGTTTCTTGTCTTCTGCGTATCATAAACTCATACAGATACACATACACATTTCACACTTTCTCGCTCCTCTCTCACACACCTGCCTTTTTAATCCATCCAAGCTATGACTTCATATATAGATCAACAAAGAGCAATACCTCTAAGAGTTAAGCCTTCACATGTAAAGAAAATGAAATACATTGGAATACTGGTTTTCAGATACTTCACTTGCTATATATTTTATGCCGATTTTGTGATAGTAAAGTCGTAATTTTCCATTTTCTACCAACTTTAATCTAAAGGTCAGAAATATTTCACACTACTGTGAAATATGGCACCTCACTGACATTGAAATGCAATTTTGCAAAACTGGCAAGCGGAGAACAGCAATAACTATGTCACATATAACCAGCCAGGTGAAGAACAAACAAGAGACTTATTTTCCTAGGCTCTAGCCATATACCATAGCCACATGGCCATTCTTCCACCATCAACAAAGATGTTGATAATTTAAACAGCTACATGTTATTGCCATTTCTATTAGTGTTTCCTCTCTGGGCCCTTTCTCCGACATAACCAGTCTACCTATATGCTGGACTGTAGCAACTTAACACAGAAAGCAAAACACCACCAACACAAAACACAAAGAATTCTTTATTAAATAGAAATGTATTTCGGGGCTGTTCTTTCTCAGTAGTGAACAAATCAACTCGTCTGTTGTAACGGCTCAAAAACTAACCCACTCTCAAAATCGCGGCTTAGCAAGCGAGGTTTCTAGGGAGCAAGATGACTTTGGCAGTCAGAAGACCACTATTGTTTCAAGACTCCAAAGCTCTGGCTTGTACATGCCTGTGATGTGTTTAATTGTCATTATGCCAACATGAGACATAAACAACTTAGCACAACAGTTTGAATAGCGGGATTTGCTGGTTACAAACGGGAAAAAAAGCAAAGAACAATAGAACTCTGTCCATAATGCAGTGTGATCAAATATCTACTCTGTTAATGCAATTTAGGGTGCAGGGACAGTAAAAACTGTTTAAAGAGGAAAAAAAAATTATGAAAGCTTTGCATTGCATTTCCAGCTGGCATAGAGAATTTGTTTAATTTAGTCATGTTTACTTAGGTTTGGTAAAACACATTTAAATTTTGAAGTCCAGTGGAAAATACCTTAATGATGACTAGTTTTCACCAAAAGCTTAAAAAATTCTAGTTGGATAGTGTGCTGTACAAAATAGACCTCAAGGAAAGGAAATATTATCACAGCTACCAAAATAAGGTGGTTTGCAAATCGGATTCCTGACAACTTACTATTTATTTCCATTCTTATCCAAGGTCCAAATTCAAAATTTCATAAGCAAATACTGCCTATTAAATATGATTGGTGCTAAACAGTTGTTATACTAAAATAAATATATTTGCCTATCTTTAAGTAAAAATATTTTTTTAAAAAATGTATGATGATATTTCCTGTGGTTCTTTCCTTATTTTCTTTTCCATTTTCACTGAAAGCAAGCAAAAGACAGTGAGAAACTGACACTACTTGCAGGGGTCGTGGCATCCACTCAAGAGACGAAAGCTTTAATTCAGATTAATAGTAGTAAATGTTTGTTTACTTCAAATAAAATAGTATCAACCACAGATAATACACGTTTATCGCTCTGAAGTACCCTCTAATCTAGTAATTAAGACATGAAACAACATAGAGGAAAAGTAGGTTTAAATTTCTCAAGGCAGAGGAGAGAAATAATTCAGATTTCCCAAAGCTGGGGGGAACGATTTACCCTTTGCCCCTACCAGGACACTGCTTCACCTGTGTGTCCACAATTTTAGGAATCTCTTGTCAAACTTTTCACCCCTCAAAAAAGTGACTTGACACATTCAACCCAAATTCACACAGAATTCTGGCATTCCATTTGTACATCCTTAAACTGCTATAAATATTTCTTATTTTCCCTGATTTCCACTGGGCAGTTTAATGAAAAATAATTTAATTTATTTTTTAATGAACTTCTATCAATTTGTTAGGGTGATCTGGACTATGACTTTTTACATTTTCCTTCTGAGCAGCTGAACCAAACAAATATCAGTTATACAGCCTGAAGCAAAAGACCACTTCTGAAAATCCTGTTGTATGTGGACAGTTTGGAAGCTATGCAGAGCTTACAAATAGGCTGAATATAGAATAATATATTGC